AYSRKTRMSRCACSGTTACCGCAYAGTTACCGSACCTGGCCTKCASAATTTYGGTGAACCAATGGGGCACTAGAATTTGGTTACAGTACGATTACGGTCACAGTACAGTACCGTCCGTTTCCCACTCATACGAAATCCGCTCTAAACTAAAGTCTGGTTCAATTTGGAGACATAATGACAAAAAGCCATTTTATCGGTAAACATATCATGCATACAAACAACATGTTTTGTAGTGATATTTGGCATACAGCTAATTCAGAAAACGTTGGACGCCCAAGATAGGGTGTTTTCGTGCTTTCAGGGTGTAAYTATACCAGTTCCATAAAGCAAATAACTTTAGAATTAAGGAAAGAATTAGCAATGCAGCGTGGAGGGCCAGTTCACACTGCAACATAAGCACAAGCTCCATAAACAAAGGGGTTAAGGATTAATTTGTCCTTGATTAGCTTATCATCATCATCGGATGATCATGGCGGCCGGAGCCGAGTAGCACGCCTGGCTCGCCAATCCTCGCGGTTGGCCATGCAGATAGCTAGTTCAGCAACGGAGGCTGCCCCCACATCATGCTTCAGAGTGTCTATGAAGGTTGACGGTGGTCTTYCCAGGCTTGGACGTCCATGGCAAGGCTCCCATGGCATGAGGCTCCCATGAGTATGAGACCACTAGCCAGATTGTCCTGCCTGAAGCAATGGCCTGCGAGCTTACCGGTATACTCTGCCTTATGTTACTTGCTATGCTTATATCGATGACTTCATTCCTTTGCCTTTTCTTTTGTTCGACGTGCTTATGTTGTAGTGAACAGGCCCTTAACACCAGCAATGCATTGTGGTATTGGAATGTAATATGTAAAATACARTATTCAACGTTTTCTGAAAAAACTGTACACGCATAAACAAGGCTGGAATAGCCACAATTGTACAAAATGGTTACTAACTGTAACTCTTTGTCTAGCTGCAGCTACTAACTGATCTCTACAATCAAACAGCGCCTCCATCAGGTCCTTCAATAACATATGCTGCATGGAGAACTTAAGGTCCAGTCCAATCTCATTGAGCTGAAATCAGATTGAGAGTTAGTTTTCATAGACTGGCTCCGGGATCAAAAAATCCCATACGCCCCATGGAAGGCCTCAGTTTTAAGAAAGATACGGTTGGTTGTAGTGGAGAAGTATTTAGTGGAGATGTATCTATGTCAAAAAACTTGTGACATAAATATTACAGCGATACACCTAATACCCATTTAATTTCATTGTTTTCGTTTGTGTCACGCGATGATTAATATGKCCACATAGCATGGTGTGAACGTTACGGGTCCCGGTATAGGCATATTGCATACAAACTAAAYTTAAGTTTCTCTGAGGGCCATAKCTTACCTTTTCACAGTTCTCAGATGCAATTCCAACACAAACCCCAACAGCAGTGAGCCCGATGTTGCGATGAAATACTTGACGGGCAAAACGCACAACAAAGTTTTGAAGTTCGGCATTTGCCCACACAACAAATGCTGCAAGMAAATTGAAACAACATTCTCTTTGATGTTAGCTTCGATGATATCACTTTTTTGCGACGCGATGACTTTAATTCACATACATGTACAATGTATACACAAAATAGTGAAAGCGAGCAAAGATAAACTTTGCTGTACACGTCATAAATAGAGGATATTACATGGGCGCGTAGAGATATGATTTTTATCTTCAAATGTTGATTATGAGAACCTGAGACAATGTGATGTGCAATYAATACCTGAGCAAAATCCCGAACTACCAGCGAAGGCTTTTTGAAACTCCTTGCCCGTTTCAATGAGACTCGTGAAGAAGACGTTGGACAGCTTTGTGATATATAATGCAGTGGCTCCTTCGATCTTCAATTGTCTATAAATGTAA